ATAGAAGTATGTATTTGGTCTTCTGAATTTGTCATTTTATACAAACTAAAGTTTGTAATAAAAAGATTTTTTTCCTGTGTGGATTATGCAACTTTATTTGTATATATAATCATGATTCTGTTGCTAAGTAGTGATATAGAAGGTAATCCTGGTCCTACTTAAAACTGTGACATAACAGGTCAAGGTAAATTGCAGGTAATGTTAATCAAGGGTCACCTAAATATTTGAGTACCACATCTGGGGTCAGTACATGCATGACAAACAGTCTTGTAGCCTTGATATATTCAATGATTATGGATGTTGCTAACTGGAACAGTGTAAATATTGATAACATACTAGATATGGGGCAATTGTTGTATTTAAAACTTTATCCTAACAGGCATTCCAAAAATTCTAGTACGTATTTACATGTTGTTGATTTAAATAGTAGCATTTCATTTGGACCATATCATTTTAGCTGTATTCCATGCACATCAATTTTTGGGTGCCTTGCTGAAGTTGACTTTGACCTTACAGTGCATTTCAGACATTGGACACTGCATTAAAACATGTTTTTTGAAAGTACTGCTCATGCCATTATTATTGTCAAAGACTAAGGATTAGGCATATTTACTGATAAGACTATGTTCTATGTGTTTTATTCACATAGCAGAGATGGCCAAGGTTACATTGATAGTGATAGACTTGCTTGTAGTCTGTTGCGATTCCGATGAAAAAGTCTTCAAAAAAAAAAAAAAAATTGCGAGGGGTGAACGCAAAAGTCATGTGACCGCGAAATCCAGACAGACTTGCCATCAGTGTAAGGGCCCTCACATCACCGGCCAGATTCGGGCCTGTAATGATTGACATGTCTAATATGTTTCAACCAATCAGAAGACAGGCTAATTAGCATATCAACTGAACCCCGGAAACCGGTTTATGATCCGTGACTCGACCGTTCCACCCACGGTATGACGTATATGCAAATTTACAAGTCACTGCAATTGGAGATTCGTTAGAATTGGAACCAGTACCAAAACAGTTATCATCACTTTGTCATCTGTAGAGACAATTGATTAGTAGAATTATAACATTCATGAAGATTGTAGCATTACCAACAGGTGCACAACATGGGTTGCATGGCCAATTTGTACTTGTGCCCTCCACTGTACAAAACAACTGCTGTTACTTTACCAATATCAACTTCTCAGTCACAGATAATAGCTCTCAGTTTGAAGAGACGTTTGTCTGACAAACACTCTGTAACAGAGCAGTTCATTCGTCCTAATTGTGTTAATGATGCATTAGAGTTTCTTCAGAAAGACAATCCTCATTATAAGGATGTCATAATTAATGCTGATTGGACAGATATTAGTAAACGAGAAAATCCTGAAATCTGGTCATCTGTTACTGAGCTAACTGAGACCATTTCCATTCTGATATTCATGTCTTGAATACACCTCCCCTAGACAAAAATACTGATAAAGATGTGGTAAATTTCATGTGCTATTCCTGATCAGCAAGAAGATTCTATACTTTACAATTTGGTTGTATGACGTCAAACACATCATCACACTCGAACATGCAAGAAGAGGAAGGGCCTTGAATGTCGATTTAATTGAAACTATTATTGCAAGAAAGGAAGCTTCCAAAGATGTTATTTCACATGCAAAATATGTTATGAATAGCGTTATGTAGACTTTGGAAAAAAGTGGGCCTCAAATAAATACATCTGATTTGTTTATAGAGGCTAATGTATCTGTGACAGACTACTATAAAGCTTTGACAGTATCCTTAAAGCGTATATCAGTATTTTTTTTTTTAAAAAGAAACCAGTAGAGGCTAATATCAATCCATATATATTAAAAGCTCTTCGATCTAACATGGATATTCAGTTTATAACACATGTGTGCGCATGGATTGCATATATCACATCATATATGTGCAAACCTGAAAGAGAAATGTCAGTACTTATGAAGAATGCAGTACAACAAGCAGATACTGTACCTGACAAACTCAAATGTATTGGCAATGTATTCCTACGGTCTCGTGAGATTTCTCAGCATGAGGCAATTGCTGGGCTGATTAGTTTGCCATTGAAATATACAAATACGGCAGTATTGTATGTCCCGACTGGATATGAAAAAGACCAAACGAGGATGTTAAAAAGTAAATCAGAACTTGAAAAAAATGGCAGATAACTATGAAAGTGTGTACATGATAAGCATTTTAGATACTTCTGCATCAAGACCATTTAGTCAAGCATATTTGCTTGGCAGAGTTTACATCGATGTATTCAACATACACACAATCTTAAAAAATGGATGATGGAGAACTTGTTGACACACTGTCAGATGATGTTAGTAACACAACAGACTATGAATCAGATAACAGTTAGATAACCAGTTGAGCAAGGCTAACCGAGTCGTGACCTCGATGTGGTTCGTAACCAGTTTTGTGATTGGTTGTTGCCAAATGCTTACAGGCCACGCCTCCAAACTTTGCCATGCGTTCGGGCAAACCGTTAGGAATTCCTAAATTGAGTCAATTTGTGTAGTTTTCTTGATTTATTCTGCAAATATCGGTAAAATGTAGGCAAGGCTTTGGCGAAATTTGAAGGAGCAACTAATATTCTTCAACCTGGTATTTTTTTTAGATTTTATTTTTCATTCTTTTTGTCTCTTTTTTCGAGTTTAAAAAATGTGAGCTGACTGGAGCCTTCATCCCTTGTCTATTTCTTACACTAGATACCAGCCGATACCCCCCCCCCCGCTCATAGAGACTGCGGTACTACAGTTGATTATAGTCCCTGAGGCTCCCTGTGGATTTACCAATGGAAAACTTTATATCGATGGCCTCTTGTACAATGGATAAACAAAATGAAAGAACTGAGCGTGATGAGCTGAACCGACGGACCAAGTACTAGTTGTAAACAAAATTTACGTTGTGACTTTTATTTAATAATCTCAGGAAAAATGCAGCTATAAGGTAACCAGTAGTCTATTGAAAACTGAAATATTTGATCACATCGTGATCACTAATATTATAGCACTTGTTACATAGTATTGTTTGTTTTAGTAGATTATGACTGTATTGAAACGGGTTAGAACTGTTTTGCCCACCGAGTATACGTTTGGTACTTATACGTGTGGAAGTTGGGAAGGGTTTGTTGATGTTTTGGGGAGAGTGTTTTGTTCTTTGTTTGGGTGTGGGGGAGTGTTTTTTCGGGCTCCCCCGGGTGGGTGGGACGTTCAATGTTGAGTTTTTGTCCCGTCTTTGTCGGGATGGTTGTGTTTTCACTTATGTTGAAAAATGAGTTTACCAACACTTAATCTGGATGATAACAGAAATAACTAAACAGGTAAAATGTCAGAAATTAATGTACTATCATTAAATGTAAGAGGCCTGGGTGGGTACAAAAAAAGAAAAAAAAAATATTTAAATGGATAACTGAAACAAAAGCAAACATAATTATGCTACAGGAAACCCATAGCTCCAAAGATAAAATTAAGTACTGGTCTAATCAAATGAGAGGGAAAATGATATTTTCACATGGGACAAACCTAAGTAAAGGAGTAGTCACAATATTTAGAAATGTTGAGGTAGAGATTTAAAAAAGTGTTGCAGACCCACAAGGTAGATATCTTGTAATTGAAACATGTATTGGGGAAAAATCATTCATATTTTTTAATACATATGCACCAAATGATCAACATAATCATGTAGGATTTCTGAAAGAATTGATACCCGTCATAAAAGAATGTACAACAGAAGCAGATTCTAACATAGTTTGGGGGGGGAGATCATAACGTGGCCTTAAATACACAGATTGACAGAAGGGGGGGGGGTAACCCAAACCCATGGAAACAGTCAGTTAAACTAATAAAAGAGATTATGGAATCATTTGAACTTTTGTACTTTTCTGTTGTTTGGTCTGGTCCCCCTTTTTTGTTTTTCCTTCCTCGTTGCTTTTGTCGCCTGCTTTTTCGCTCTCTCGTTTTTTTTTGTTTTTTTATTTATGATCTGGTATACTGTAAACCAATTAAGGCATTGAATATAGTTTGCCATGAATGATCTCTCAATTAAATTACTCTCACTTAATGTGAGGGGTATTAGAACCAATATAAAGAGAACCAAATTATTTGCATGGTTGAAACGCAAAAAATGCGACATTATTTTGCTGCAAGAGACTTACAGTTCTCAAGAGGTTGAAGAGCAGTGGACAAAACAATGGAATGGCAAAATATTTTTCTCACATGGTACTAATCACAGTAGGGGTGTATGTATTTTATTTAGACAATTAGCCAATATTACGATTCATGATAACATCAATGATGATGAAGGGAGATTTGTGTATCTGGATGTTACCATCCAAAATTTACGAATGGTATTGGGAAGCATCTACGCACCCAGTATCTCCAGTGAACAACTTCTGTTTTATGATTTGTGGGGCTCTAGTTTTAATAACATGTTAGGTGAGGGTAAGCAATTAATTTTGGGAGGAGATTTTAATGTATGCCTTAACCCTACACTGGATAAACAAGGAGGGAATCTAAAATACAAAAAACGATTAATAGATAAAGTGAATGATAAACTGTCTAATTTTGATCTGGTGGACATTTGGCGGATAAAAAATCCAAACAGCAAACGCTTCACATGGA